CTATATTAACTAAAACACCCTCTAAGAGACATAGTGGGGGTATTCTCTGAGTCTTGCAAATCCCTTGCAAGGTGCACGGTTTGCAAAGCTGTCCCAAACGAAAACCAGTTTTTACCGTGCCATCTGTGCACCGCGCAACGCCTTTGCAAGACTCAGAGAATACCCCTAGTGTATAATTTTGCTCACACATTTTCTATGTACGAAAAAAAGCAACGAACTTTAATTCATACAAAGTCAGGTACATATTAATAAAATATTTGTTGGCCTTTAAAATACAAATATTGCACATACACAAATTCCATATTCATTCAAGCACACATGTATAGTACATACTAACATACATTTTCATCAAACACACACTTGCGTACGTACCTCCAATTGCCTGCACTGTGAGGCGCATTCCATGAATAATTAAATGCACCACACTTAAGGACAATTATTTCCGCAAACAGACATATGTATTAAAATTTTATTTAATCGATAAAGAAATATACATATAAAAGTTTCTACAATGTACATAAAATCTGCCTACATAACCAGTTCGCCCATATTTAAATATTGGAACAAATTGGCTAACTAATAAATATACGATTTCTTCCAGAAGATTTCTTTAGCTAGACATGCATTCTAACAATTCTCATTTTGTTGAGTCATATAATTGTAGGATTTTAGGAATAATGTCGTTTATCAAAATTTTTACTCTGACAGGCCCCTTAATTTAAGCGGAATTTACATGAAGTATCCGTGTACTCTCGGCCTTTGGAAGGAAATCGGCTACTCGGCCCAGTTCCAAGCGGTTTTTTGTGTGCTTAAAACACATTTCAGCAAAAATAGGCTTTAGTACAAGGTTTTTCAATGTGGAAACATCTGTGTACAGTTCGGCTATTCAGTTCCGTGTGTTGATCCATATACATCCAGGTTATTTAGGTTAGAAATTAAACATTAATTTCATTTAATTCATTTTGCCGAGATCAGTTCAGGGTACAGTTCATGACTACTTCAGATCTATTTCGTGACTGGTTTCGAACTTGCTTCAAATGATTCTGAACTAACCCCAAAGTGGTTCTGAAAAAGTTGTGAACTTGTCCCCAAATGAGCTCGAAGAAGTCTTGAAACGCTTCCGAAATGGTTCCTTATTAGTCCCAAAATGTCCACGAACTAGGTTCGAAATCATCTAGAACTAGTCCCGAAATGTCTCTGAATAGGTCCCGAATGGGAATGGCTCTAAACTAATCGTGGACTAATCCCGAAATGGTCCAGAAACAGGCCTGAATTAATCCAGAAATGTTTGCTTGTGTACATAAAAGGCACTAACAAATTTTCTACTATTTGAACGTAAATTTTAACCACACCGAAAGCTAAGATGTTTACACATCAAAAAAAAACTACAAAACTTACTTGTGTACCCGCATGAAATTGAATTTCAAAAACTTAAAAAATATTCCAAATGTTAGTCAGAGTTATAAGAAATCCGACTGCCACATTTCATCAAAACCTTGCAGCCGTTGCATGTTTGCATGTTTTTTTTTCATCGAATTTCAGATCACCCTATACCGATGAAAAAAGTTCTTTCAATAAACTGATAAACTAATTCGAATTTGAATGTTCGAACAAATGGCAACCCTCCTAAATAAAGGTCAGGAATAAATCCCTTTCCAACCCATTTCGATTTACACCCATCTTTTTATAATTCACCCAACTTACAGAATAATTTGAATGTAAATTTTTATACACGTGGCAACTCTATTCAAACATTCGAAATGCTCAAACTAAAGATTTCTTAAAATTGTTTCGTTTGAATTAGTTAATTGAGTTAGACCTTTCAAACAGGTGGCAGCCCTCTTCGAAAGTATTTTCATTGTTAACTCTCCTTCGCCAGAAGTTGCGATACATACATATTTTTATTATTTGATGAATTAAGTGGAATTTTAATTTTTGAACATGTGGCGACCCCACTAAATACAGTTCAGAAATAAAAAATTTTCAAACCCCCTTCGATTGATACCTATATTTTAATAATTCATTTAGCTGATAAAATAATTTGAATTTAACTTTCTAAAGAGGTGGCAACCTTCCTCCAACCCCTCAAAAATTTTCTTAGAGTTCAAACTAAAGATTTCTTAACACTCCTTCGTTTGACATTAATATTTTGATATTTCGTATAACTAAATTCGACATTTCAAGCAGGTGGCAACCCTCTTCTAAATATTTGCAAACTACTTTCTGAAACCACTTTCGTTTGACACCCCCATGGTGATACATATTTCTCTTACCTAATATGACTTTTTAAACAGGTGGCAACCCTCCTATAGTTAAGTTAAGAAACGAAGCTTTTCAAACCCATTTCGATTGATACCCATATTGTAATGATTGATATATTTTTTTTTTATAATTTTAATGTAATTTTTTGAAATGTGACAACTCTTTTAAAAAAAGTAAAACCTCATTGCATATCTGCAGTTAATGCATTTTGCTTTGGCGCCTCATTTAGGAAAATCGAACGAACGGTGCCGATTTGATGCCATTGATTATTAAATAATTTGAATTTAATCTTTCAACAGGTGGCAACTCTTTTGGCGTAGAACACGTCTTACGTTTCGATATGGAGGCTATGCTCAAATGTTATAGTTGCAATTTTTAGAGCTTTACGAGAACTAATGAAGCGATTTGACGGAGAGGTGTGGCTTCAAAGATAAAATTCCAAACCGATCGACAGATTCATTTTTGTAAGAAACCATTTTGGTTTCTGTCGAAGAAACAACGGTAAATATTGGCTTATTTTGGGGTCAATTTTGAGCCTTCAAAGTGCTCTTACTTACGATTTGCAGGTTAAACCTACATTTTCGGGATATAGGTTCTTTGGAGCAATAGAAATATTTGAAATTTTTGAGATTGAAATTTGAGAAATTGTTGAAGAAATTAGCAAATTTTTTATATTTTCAAAATGCTCGAGAACCGCTCGAATGATTTTGTTTTTGTTTTCTTTAATCAAAAATTCAAGACTTTTCCATTCATGAGGATGAGAATACCGACAAAAGTAAAGATGAAAATAGAGGAAGAAAGATTAAAATAAAGGTAATTATAGAGAAAAGGATATAAACAATCGAAATTTTATCAGTTTTGTTATCGATCTTTTTTATCGATTTTGTTATCTATTTAGTTTTCGATTTTGCTATCGATATTATTATCCATTTTGTTATCGATATTTTTATCGATTTTGTTATCGATATTTTTATCTGTGTTTTTATCGATTTTGATGTCGATATTATTATCGCTTTTGTTATCGATATTTTTTTCTTCGTGTGTGCTTTCGTTTTTGACTTGGATGTGCTCTTAACCAAAGCACGTATTCTACGTTTAAATTTAGCGGCGGATTATCGGAGACACGATACAGCCTGCAGACCAAGACGAAGGTGCTGGACTGTTCCTTTTTTTAAAACCAGTTTACACATCTACAGACCAAGCGCTTTAATTTGACATCTCATTTTTGAAAATCGGGCGAACTGTACAGATCTTTTATACTGAACTAGCAATTCCTTCGCGTATTATATGTACATATTTCTGTGTTCATATGGAATAGCAGCTTATGTTGAAAGGCTGGCTTAATTAGAATGCGGCATTCGCAGCATACGATTGCGAATAACTCACCGGCGCCGAGCCGTTGAAGAACTTTTGGCAAATAAACGTGCAAGAAATATGTCCGATACTAGCAAGTCAATATTCTTATTAAGTTTCATAAAAAAGTTCCTTGTCGTTTAAAGGACAAAGAGAATGCTGAATTATACGAAAGCCAGCTTCTCGGCATAAGTTACTATTCCATACGAATCCAGATGCATAGATGAGTGTGATGCTGATGATGCGACCACTGCTAAGAAAAAACCTTTTCTCCATATTTTTTGGCGATGTTAGTTTGACCAGTGCTTGAAACATGGACATGCGGAGTAGAAGCGCGCACTGCTTACCACTAAACCAGGTACACTTATGTACTTGAAAAGCCATAGACTTCTTAAACGGCCTAGGACCTATTTATTTTATGTCCTTGGCTGCTCTGAAAGCTAATTTCATCATTCCTTTGTTGATGTTATCGAGAAAGTTTTCTTGTATTTGATAAACGTATTTTAGTTTAAGCCAAAAAAAAACAAATAAAAATTAACCAATCGTCAGTATCATTTACTCAGTTTGCATCGATGCACAAATCTTAAGTATCAATTCCGGCTCAAACGATCAACTGCAAGTGCATTCTAATGGTTTTGTTGAAGTGTGCAAAAGAGGCAATAAAATTTGTGCTTCTTTTAGCAAACTATCTTTTCGCAAGTTGCAAGGAGACCAGCAAAATATTCTTTTAAAGAAATGAATTGGATTTTGAACTGTCAGATGCACGCTTCACTTGCATTCCAGCATTAGTAGGAGGAGCATCACTAGCAGACGCACTCAAATAAATTGTGTTCTGCGAAAATATATGTAACAGTATTCGCTGACCAACTCATGTGCATTTAATTGCAACAAAGAAAGCAGCTAAACTCAGAAAAACGTACTAACACTTCAGCGCTCACTACACTGCAAGTCATCCCCCATAAATACTCCACATTTCTCATTCCACTAACAATACTTCAAATACGTATTTGCCGCGTCCCCTCATTCACCCATTCGCAATCTCTCGCCTTTTCTTAGTACCTCAATCTCAGCGGTAATGCACTTCGTCTGCTGGACATCTCCAGCTTCGACAAGCTCATCAATCTGGAAGCGATCGACCTGTCCGCCAACAATTTGACCCAACTACCCTTTGGCCTCTTCGATGCATCCTCCCAACTGCAGCGCATCAATTTATCACGTAATGCACTGCCGGACATACCTGGCCAACTCTTCGACCCGCTACCATATCTGCGTTCGTTGGACATGTCACAGAATCAATTGTCGTCCGGCGCATTCATCGCTCATCTCTCGCCGCTATTGCCACGTTCCACACTCACATTGGATTTAAGTGAGAATCACTTAACGCGACTTGATACCGATGCCATGGATGCGTTGCACGTCTGCAGCGGGCGTGTTGAGTTGGCCGGCAACTGGTGGCATTGCCAGTGGCTCATCGTTGAATTGGTGCGCGCGCCCGCCCACTTTCACTTTGGACGCAACTATACACTCGCGTCGACATGGAGTGCGGCGTTGCTAAACGTGAGTGGCATTGATTGCTATGATGCCGAGCGTAAGCGCAGTATTGTGGTGCTTGATGCGGGGCATTTGTGGGAGCGACGTCATGGTGTGAGCGGCGATGTGGACTATAAGGTAAGTGCAATAAAAATGCTAATTGTATGGCTATTGAGCATGGTGCATTGCTTGGTTTCTGTTTGTGTGTGCTGATATGTATTTAATTTGTGCTGTGCTTCATAGCAGACGTTCGTCGAGCCTGCGATGCCAACGCCCCCACCGCTGATGTGGCCGCGTGTGCGCATGGACCGCTTTGACTCGCGCTCGATTATCATATGGATGTTGATTTCTATTGGTTTGGCGTTTACCGGACTGCGTATAGCGCGTCAGTTGATCGATAGACGGGAGCAAGGCAGACGCCTGAAAAAATTGCGCGAAATGGTATGTTGAGTGCATATACGAGTACATATTTTCCACATTGTGTGATTATTGAATTGATTTTGCAGAAGGCTGATGAGCTGATGAAATTGACTGCGAAAGAGGCGGAGGCAAATGCATAGGGTGATTGGAGTTTTACGCGTTTTTAGGTTAGCGTTCGATTTATTGATTCGAGCAGTTTAGTTTGTAATCCGTAATAAAATATTACAAATAAATTTAAAAAAACCTTAAACTGTAGATGCCATTTTTGTACTTTAAACACAAAAAGTGGATAAAGCTCAACCAAGCGTTAATAATGACACGACTTCAGCATAATTCAAATAACTAAATATGTATGTGTGTATTGAGCGGAGGGATGCTAGGTATTGTTGCGAAAGACTACCAAGTCCTTGGTCACATACACGAAATAATGGCAATTATTTTCTTGCCCATTTTCTTGGGAGCTGCATACTGACCTTTATCCGAAAGCTAACAGGTAGCTAACAAGCCCTAAATAAATACCTACTTAATAAAAAACGAAAAAAAAAACAAAAATGTGAGATAAGGTTTTTCTAAATATTACCTTGTTTATACCGACACATAAAGCTCTTTAACCCAGTTCGCTGTGATTCAAAACGGATACATAAAACAAATTTCAATGAGCTCAGAAATTCAGGAGTGTATTGACTCGAATTTGTCTTTAAATCGGTTTTTTATTTCTCACATCACACTATGGTCTGGCGACTACTGTTTGCTGGCCAAGAGGCGAGAAGTAACCAAATTGATTGGAAACTTAGCGTTTGGGGGTTTCGAGGTCACTGATTTCGAATATAATGTCAGATTTTCGAAATTCAAAATGGCAGATCCAATATTGCGACCAAATTTTATACTTATTTCCCTTTTATCAAAAACTTATACATAAGCGGGGTTTTCAAGGTCGCTGATTACGAATTGCTGATGTACGATTTTCCGAAGTTAAAGCCGAAGCGCATCCAAAATGGCGACCAAATTTTATAATTTTTTCCTCTTCAGCAAAAACTTATATCAAAGGGGAGTATTCGAGGGTGCTGATTTTGAATCTGATAGCAGATTTTTTAAATTCAAAATGCAGGATTCAATATGGCTACCAAATTTTATAATCTTTTCTTTTTCACCAAAAAAGTTATATATAAAGGGGGTGTTTGAATTCGATGATTTAAAATCTGAGGTCAGATTTTTTTAAATTGAAAATGGCGGATCCAATATGGCTTTATCGGATAAAATTTTAATTTAAAAAATTTGTTTAGTTTTTGCTATATATTTTTTTCTCATATATAAACTTTTTCCTTTAGAAATAAGCTTATATTTGTATTTATTTGAAAGTACACATGCACAATAAGTATATAACTAATAATTAGGTGAGATATAGAGTTGAAAAAAATAACGTTAAGAAGTTCTTTTCGTTAACTCTAAATTTACTCCTTAATTACCCTACGCAGCTTTGTAGCCCATTGAATTTTGCTATAAATTTTGCAATTTCGAAGATGGAACTTGTTGATTATTTGTACTTTTTTTCTGCAGATGTTGCCCATTTTCTTCTCCATTGCGCGAACTTATAACTTGTACTTTTCAAAATTTTTGTTGATTTTTTTAAATTTAATTTTATCTTATGCAGTAAATTTTTGGCATAACTATAGGCATTTCAGCTAGAATATTTTGCAAGGTAATGCGTTGTGGTGTGTAGAAGAAAACATAAGTTTGGACAAAAAATTACTCATACGAGAATTTCGCGATATGTACAGGTAATTCGGGAGTGCAAAATTTTTATGAATATTTGCACAAAGTTTGGAACGTTTTTTGGACTTTCTGTTATAGTATTACCCATAATGTTATATATAGCTAGTTTTGAGAGGCTTCCTGGAGGACTCCTGTAGTCGGAGAAGAAACAGAGGTTGGTATTTCCTCTCTCAAATTGGATGGGTGGAATGTGCCAAGCCCTTTCATTTCCTTTGTACCAGCCTTGAATTCAAATTTCTTTAAAGTTTTATAGATTTTCTTCAAGCGTGCCGATCGAGAGACCGGGCTCGAGTCCTGACGCAGCGGGTTATTTTTCTGTGTTTTTATCTGAATTTTTTTCTTTTTTAAGTTAATTTTTCCGATTTTGTATTTTTAAACAGATAGGTGTATATATTTCTTAACTTAATCTAATTCTTAGCAACGTATTTAATGTATTTTTTTAATCTTTTATTTACTTTGGTTTGGTGTTTATTGTTTTAAAAATAATTTTTTTTTTTAATTTTATGTTTTTAAGTTAATTTTTTTTTTTAATATCTTTCAACCAATTTCACGAAAGCAATTTAAGTTAAAAATGATTTTAATTTCATATGGAAATTGGCAGAAAATAAAAAAATTATTTTCCATTTAAATTGCTGGGGAAACCGGCTTTTAGATTTTATTGTGTAAGAGAGAAAAAAAAATCTTCTTTTTTAATTTCAAGTACCCTTTAGAAATTTATTTTTTCTTCATTTAGTTTAGATTTTATTGTTTAAAAAAGAAAAATATTTTTTTTTATTTTAATTTAGGGATGTTATAAAATTTTCTTTAACTGTTTTTTGTCTTATTTTAAATAAAAATATTTTTAATCTATTTAAATTTTTTTCGTATTATTTTTTCTATTTTAATTTTCTTTCATTTATAAATTTTTATTGTTTGAAAAAGAAAAAAACACAGATTTTTTAATTTAATTTAATTTTTAAAAAAACTTATTGTTGAAAGGCGAGCAGCATAATGCTAAGACCTCTTCGTTAGCAGATCTTTCAATTAGTCTTTCGAAAGACAGTAAAGAACTTTCAAGAGAGTTGACAGAATTGACAATTGTCTACGAAAAACATGACTACAAATCTAATAGTTTTTCTAGCATTTATTTTTGTTTTAATAATTTGGCAAAGAATTGCTCGATATACGCTATTTAACCTATTTTTTATCAGTTCATTTGTTGAAAGTGTTCAGAAATCCTAGATGAAATTTGGAAACATAAACAACCTACTGATAGATGCGATCTATAATAGCAGCATATTTTTGTAAAATTATTTTACGACGCGATTTCAGCGTGGGACCCAATTCGCCAGTTGGCACTGAAAAATCGTGTGGGAGTATGGCGAATTTTTGTACTTTTTGGGCGTTCGATAATGAACGTTGATTTGCGCGTTTCAGCGCCTCCTCTATAGCCGCCACAATCTTTGCATCAGGCTGCACCAACAAAGTGGTGTCATCGTACTCGCTAAGGTCCGCTGGTATATTTAAAACCTCTGACAAACGTGTATAGTTGAAACCCAATTCTTGAAGCCAAGCAATAGAATCGGGATGAAGTATGTCCAAAGGCATGCCGGTTGTCGAATCCATATCGGTCTGTAGAAGGATGAAGTGTTTTTATGAATTAGATTTTTTATAAAGCGCAATTTATAGACGCACCTTCAGTGTTAACAAAATCGATAGATATTTGCGTTGATCTCCAACGAGCAGCGCATTGCTCACGCATGGCAATTCTGCTTTTACTAAATTTTCGACATGTACGGGTGGTATGTTTTCGCCGCCTGCAGTGATGACCAACTCCTTGATGCGGCCAGTTATTGTCAGATTTCCAACGGAGTCTAGATACCCCAGATCGCCGGTTAAGAGCCAGCCATCTTCTGTGAGTATTTCAAGGGTCTTCTCCAACTCATTAAGGTAGCCCATCATGGTCGAGCGACTGCGAAGACAAACCTAAGAGCGATGCAAAAAGAAGCAAAATACACATTCGACATTCCTTCGAGCTTTTGTTCGACGACTTGACTCACCTCACCATGCCCGTCTTCATTTGGTTTGTAGATTTTTATTTCCACGCCGTCTAAGGCTTTTCCACAGCTGTACAAATTACCGTAGTCTAAATTCAAGACCGCAGCGCCACCCATTTCAGAGATTCCATAAGCCTCACAAAGCGGCATGTCCAGGCTAGTGAAAAATTTTTTCAATTCAGTTGTCACTGGTGCACCACCCACTATAATCCAGCTACATTGATCGAGGCCCAACGCATACTTGACTTGGTGTGTTAGCTTTGATGCCAACCACAATTTAAAAGAGTGCGTTGAATGGCTGCTGTAAAGTAAATTCTATATCAGCACCAATATTTTGAGAGAGAAATAATACTTACGGCTTATCGCTTTTACTCAGATAATGATCCAAAGTCACTTCTCGCGCCCAATCTAATGTGTAACGTGAAAATCTCGATGAGTTCGCTGTGACTTGCTTCAACTTTTCCTGCATCTTCTCGAAAACTCGTGGTACGCCGAACATGGACGAGGGACGCGCTTTGGCAAATGTTTTCGTCAACGAACCTTTGAGTGCGTCTTGATCGGCAAAGTAGATGCAAGAGCCCATCTCTAAACCTCGATAGACATCGAAAATCTGGGCGGCAATATGATTCAAAGGCAAGTAGGAGACGGATCTCTCGCCGGCTTTGCTGAAGTGACTGACAGAAGAAGCTATAAATTTGGCATTCATAATGACAGAGTCGTGAGAGAGCATTGTAGCTTTCGGAAAGCCTGTAGTACCAGACTGCAAAGATTTAAAATTAGTTATTTAGAATTTCGGACTGCAAGTTCGTACAATTTTTTTAAAGCGTAAGAAAGTATTAAATTTTTTACCGTAAAAATCAGAATCGCACACTCATTAGCGCCCACAGCGCGCTCACGTTGCGCCAGCTCCTCGCGCAACTGATCATCGTACTCCAGCGCTATCACATCAGTCCAGCGATAGTAACCCTCCTCCTTACCCACGAAATTCTCAAATGGGCCATGCAGCTGTATGACGGCACGCAAAAGTGGCAATCTCTCCTTCACCTCGCGCACTTTTGCCATTTGTTTGGCATCATCCACAACACAAACGGTAGCCTGGGAGGTTTCCAGCGCATGCTGTACCGCTTCTGGCGAACTGCTCGGATAAATACCGGCCACAATGCCATTAGCGCGCAACGCAGCAATCTCTGCATAATACCATTCGGGGCAATTGAAAGCCAGCATGCCAATGGATGAGCGTGGCTGTAGGCCAACATGCAAGAGCATGAGCGCTGTCTGCTCCACATGACGTTCGTATTCTGCGTAGGTGACAGTAGCTGAAGTAGCGTTGGGATCTAAGGGCTCACTGGCGTAGACAAGCGCAGGTAGGTCGGCATAACGTGTGCAGCGGTCGTGAAAAAAATGCGGTATGCTCTGTGGTTCAGTGGCAGCGACACCCTGTTTGCCGATGCGCAGTTTGACCGGTTCGTAGAGCGATGTGGAGATATAGCTGCTGGCGGGCTTAACAGAATTCACACAAGTGGCGACATCCGAGCTTTCTTTCATCATTTTGTTGAGATTGTAATTGCAATATTTTGTTCCTATTTTGGGGATGTTAGTTGTTATCGGCTGTGTAAATTTTTGTATTGAAAACCAACACAAAAGGAAATTAATTTCTAATAATTTACTAAAATCTGCTAAGCACTTTGATTTTTCTAAAAAAAAAATCATTTTTTATTACTTTTAATTACTCGGAATGGCTTCTAGAATTCCATGGCAGCTAAATAAGGTCCACGTAAATACGGCAAACTCACTCTATTCTACCAGACAGATCGATTCTTACTAAGTATCGGGGCAAAATGGAAAATTAGAAAATTAGTGATGTAACATGTTGCCCAAACTAAGGATAAATTTACCGATTCCTCAGTTAATATTCTGGCAAAGGGATCTCTACCATACATTTATAACTCTTCTAATTTGGAAATCAGATATAGAAAGACTCTAAATAAGTTGGCCGCGATATTTCCGACATGTATAATGCAGTCGGTTACGTGTAGTTTGGTAGCAGCCGTACGAGGTGGGAAGTGAAGTTAGAAAAAGGGCTGCATAAAATTAAATTTTGCAGGCAGCTGATGTCCACCCCAAAGAGTTTGTCGAAAGTGTTGATGAAATACGAAACGAGTTATATAACCCTTTATCTAGCGAAATCTGGCCAGCTGTGAAGGAAATGCCTAGATGAGGCCCCCTCGTCGTACTGCGGTAAAAGGGATACGTAACGCTATTAAGTCGTACCGCATTGGTGCCTAAAGGATAGTATTTGGGCAGGACACCTATGGACTTCGCCACTTTGCATTATCTGGCAGTAGGCCAAAAGTTACAACAGGAAATCCTCTGCCCAGCGAATTTATCAGCCATGCAATTGCCTATAATTTCACAGTGTCCTGGAACCCAAATCAACTGGATTTAAAGATAATTTGTGGTGATCGAGAGGGGGGTCTTGCCTTCGCCTAACAGTTTGTATGTATGTACCATGAGCGATCCTAGGTCCATGATTTTGGCATGACTATCTGAGTAGATATTTGCCTTCTAGTCGGTTATACACTGGATTTTGACAGAAAACAACTCCTCCAACTAAGCCACCGAAGTTCAATGCATCCGTGAGGATGCTGACGGCAACTCCGTGGACTGTAAAGGCCGCCACTCTACTCTTCAATCACCTTAAGGGATATCATTAGAGAAGTAACCGTTCGAAGACAGCCGCGAAATGGACAAGTCTGTTTCTTCCGATATGATGTGGAAATTTCCAAGGATTTCCAAGTACTAAAGAATTGGATTAAAGTTAACACCAGAGCTAGCTTTGGCTGCCTTACCCTTAAAGTCAACAGTACAACACTGAGCCTAGAGCTAAGTGCTATAGTACGAGGAGCGCACAGCTCTTCACTGATGCCAACAAGGGCGGCCACGCGTTCCACAGTGGTTCGAATAGCAGAACTGGAAGTCAAAATTTTATTTTGTTTTTAAATTACTTAATGATACTCGGATTCCATTCCTGACAATATATTTAAATAGAAATTGTATTTATTAAAGCAATAAACATATGGAAAGAAAGAAAAAGCTAAGGTAACGCCCTAGCTACCCAGCTAGCAAAATTGCCAGAAATCTGTTAGATATCCCTCAGACTCGTCGGCAAAAAAGTAAGAAATCTATATGATTTTAGCCGATATCGGTCAGAGAGGCGTGTGGAGAGGTTGACAGGAAGTCTAGCCGACACAACGTAGGAAATTCTGACTTAATTACCGCCGATTCTGACGGATATCTAACAGATGTCTGCCCAAATAACCATGGAAAATAAGAATTATAAGACGTGTATGCCCGAAATCGGAGATAATTCGATCAGACATATCGGATGAGGAAATAAATCAAATTCTCCAGACATTTCGCCCAGAAATCTGTGCGAAACCTGTAAGACTTCTTCTCTAAATAGTCAACTTTTTATTCCGACTTGTCTGATATCAGAAATTGTAGGGTAAATGTGCTAGCTGGGTACTTAAAACCCACTTTGCTAGCCTAAAATTGAATTTGCCAAAAAACTGTACACTCAAAATCTTTCTAAGAAATCTATTAAAAACATCAAATTGGTTTAAGAAACTTTGTTGCACAAAGTTTAAGACTTGGATTTATAGAATTTTTGTTAAAGGACCAACTATGTTTTTTATAAAAAAAAAAAACTAAAATCAAATTATAATAAAATAAAAACATAGTCAAAACTTGCTAATGTGTGGGTGTTGCATAGTTATGATACTTATTCATTAAAGAATCATCTGCTATATTTAATTATTTTAAAAACTATTAAAAACTAAAGTCATTGTTATTATGAGTTGAAAATAAAATAAAAATCCTAATATAATTCGAACTACATACATATATAAACACAACCGAACTTTAAATAACTAATGTCTTACGGAAACACTAATAAACTTTTAACAAATTTGTAATCGTCATAAGAATAATTTTTGAACAAAAAAATTTCATATATGAAGGGTTAAGACTTTTTAAAATCTTCATCTGCCACATTGCATCCGTAATTTTTAGTTTTTGATAAACGACTTTAGATTTGTACTCATTCAGCGACCCAGAAACCCCCCATATACCCAGCTTCATAGAAGTCTATTAGTTCTTTAACATTTTTTGCCCGCCATATTGGATCCGCCATTTTGAATTTTCAGTAAGTGACTCCAGATTCGTAATCAGCGACCCGAAAATCCACTAGAGAAGAAGTGGTGTAAAAATCCATGAAACAGCATTTGTTTAAATAGTTTCGTCCAGCTACAAATTGCGATCCGAACCACTGTGCGTTCTAGCTTCCCAACTAAAGTAAAATACTTTTCTAGTCAATGGCTAGATTATAGTTTTGGATAAAGACCCTTTCTCTTCCCCGCAGCGCTTTCACAGTGTTATAAAGCAACATATTACTTTTTTTTTACTCGATCTTCAATATACTTTCAAGGTACATACATACATATCTATCAGAGCAAGTCGTCGGCAGCTAGCAATTTAGCTTCCCCTGCATAAAATTCTACAGAGTGTCTTAAAGATTTCCTCTGGCGATAAGTTGCACGTCGTCAGCGCAGACAATAATCCAACAATCGCTCCCTTTCAGGTCCTCTAGAACGTCGTTTACTACGGCGATGCAGGGAAAGGGTTAGATAATGCCTCGTCGCTACAGGGTACCACTACCGACTCTGATACGATCGAGGCTTTTTCTATCACCACTTAGGTAGCAAATTATTAAAAGCCCCCTCGATATCAGAAAATGTATTAACTACAAATTCTTTATTCTTAAAGCCTGATCTCTTTGGGCATGAATGCAACTGATCGAATACAAGATTGTGCCAATCGAGATGAGAGGAACCGGGTGTAACATCATTAAATTGACACAATGAGGGAGAAAAGCATAATTTTGAATAGTTAAGAAGAGGAACAAGCGAACATGTGATGCCAATCTTCAGCCACTTAAATTTGATCGTATATTCGGTAAAAGAACATTATTTTAGATTTCTAGTTTAGGAATGCCGATAGTGTGCTTCCTTTTTGAAAGGGCAAACACATAATTTAAAGCGAAGGTTTGCTTTCAACTGCTTGGAGAAATTCCTTTGAAGGCCAATTGCTAGAAAGATTGCTTGATTTCAGTTCCAAAGTAGATATGAACAAGAGGTAAATAGTCCACCAACTACCAAAAATTCATATTTTCTTTTTAAGTACGTTTATAAATAGATAAATAAAAAATCGACAAAAACGGGATTAGCGGTCCGTATAATGCACCACCTTTGTTTCCCTACATCGTGGATTTAGATCAAATGGTAGGTGGGAGCGCGCTGGAGACTTTTTCCAACAGAACTGTGCGATAAGATTTACTTTCACTGATCTTTTTTATTATTTTCAGAAAACTTTTACACTAATAAATCAATCTGCTAAATGGTGCTACTATTTTTGTTTTCAGATTATAAATTTTTAGAGCCACTAAAAACAACTCGAGTGCCACAAAATGCAATTACTGAAGCTTCATTTAGTTTGTTAATTTTCACTTTTGTTTCACTTCCTTACGTATGTGTATATGTATATAAAATTATGATCCTTTATATTAAGATTTTTTTATTAAACGCCCAGCTACTTTAATTAACACGCGCGCAACTGCAATGTTCGACAATTGAAAATGTTTTGAAACCTAAAATCAGGGCGCACGATTACTTATTAGTTAATGTCAGAACTCTGCTAGCGCATACTGATTACATTCTACAAGAGTTTATCAGTTAGGCTGGACAAAAAAAAAATACAAACATATGCACATACATACATGCATAGATGCGTAAAAAAAAATAAAAAATAAAATAAATCATAACTTTTTGCTTTTTTCGTTTAAATACAAATCTCATTTAGCATCAACATTTGAAGCCAAGTGTGTAGTGCGTAGCAAAATAGTCTGCGAAGGACAAGAGTACAAAACATACAGCTCTTATCAGTGGCAACAACAACGGTCATACATCATGCTAACACTAGGAGTGTTGTTGTTGCTCTTCTTACTTCGGTTCTTATTCAAGCATCATGTTCAGTGATAAGACAACGATTTACGAGTGCATAGATCTTTGAATAGGCTCAATAAGATTGTGGTCGAAGGTTCGTATGGCTGGTATCAATTAAAAAAAAAATAAAAATAGATTATAATGTCAAAGATTTCTATGAATTATACATACATACATATGTACATACAACGGTTCTTTGGCCGCCCCACATTAGGAACAGTATTGCCACTCAGTCATGTATGTTTCCAACCAAAAAACCTCAAAATCTACGAAAAATAAAGCCACTCTTTGAACCAAAAGCGCTTCGCAAAAAATGGGCCGCCCAACAGTCTGCCACCAAGACTCCATCGATGTTTGATTCCTCTCTCCGTAACTAACTAGAAAGTGAATTTTGAATTTTTAGTTATAGCTTTTTTATTTCATTTCAACTTAACGCCGTTTTAATTTAAACCCGTTTGCCGACCTTTGAAGCGCATCCGCTTTTGGATTAGGTGTCCGCTTTGAAGGCATATTCAAACCGGGTTTTGAAGACCGCATGCTCTAAGCAAAGATAAAAGATAAAAAATCTCCATATCTTTTGCTTTTCCGACCCAAAAAATTATTTTGTTTTAAAATTTTGTGTATATAGAATTATGTACTCGGAAAATAAACTTTTGATGTTTTTAAAAATCCAATAAATTCGAATGTGCATGGAAGTACGAAAGCTACCCCTTGGAGTCCATGGTCAGGTTAGCCCTTCATATTCTGTAGCTTGTAAAAAAAAAACGTAATACTCATTTGCAATAACTTCAAAAAAGACTTTCTTCTCTTCCAAAAAAAAAAAACTTTGCGAAAGAAGGTGATATGCAAATACATATTTTGTCGCAATTCACAATAAGAACTAAACTTTTTGATTTCGGTCCTAAAATAGCCTCGCTAAATTCTAGAGGATTCTTTGATAAAAAAAAAAAAAAATGTAGAAAAAATGTNCTTCGGTCCTAAAATAGCTTCGCCAAATTCTAGAGGATTCTTTGATAAAAAAAAAAAATGTAGAAAAAATGTGGTTAACGAAGGAAACTCGTAAATAAACCGGTTTTCCATACAAAATTAAGTAAGTTTACGTGGTTACGAGGCATTTAAGCGTTTATATGAATTGCCATAATAAGTTTTGTGAGAACAGGTACCTTTTATAAAAATCAATGAACGATTTCGGAAGTTATGAATTTTCTAAAGTTTTTTACCAGAATAACTTCGATGATATTTCACCGAAAATCTGAATCTGTTGGATTAGATTCACTTTGAGGTTTCAAGAGTTTATCTCGGCCTTTCATTACAGTCGAGAAAATGTTTAATTTGTCTCTTTATAAAAAATGTCATAACTTCATAATTTTTGTATTGATCTGAAAGAATTGTACCCAGTTTTGCGAAGTAATACTAAACGAAACTATTTGCTTTTGAAATTTTGGCAAATGATGTTGTAGAAGTAAAAAAAAAAATAATAAAACCTGGTGTAAATTTCAGATTTATTCCAAAAGGTATCCACATGCAGAATTCCACTGTACTCACAAAAATTATTATTATTTTGATTATTATTATATATATATGTATACATATTATATATATACATATATATTATATACATATTATATTATATATATTATTATTCTTAAGTGAAAAAATAAAATTCAAATATTAATTATTATCTTTAATCTTTATTGGTTAAACTCGAAAAATAAAAACCATTGTAAATTACAGTAGGACGTACGAACACAAATACATCAATATAGCTAAAACTGTTTTACGACGGTTACAACTTATTGATTTAAAAAAAAAATAAAAATTATTATTATCCGTCCCTGCACCTACCATTAACGTAACTTTCACATATAATTTCTTAGGTCATTATCGGTAAAAATTATCGAAAACAATTTAAATTTAATCTAAGGTTTACCAATCCCACCCGGGTGACCTTTCAGAATTTGATTTCGTGATTACTCAAGACGATTTGTTCCAACCTAAAAATGCTTTCTGCTCACTGAACAAAATTTCGAACTCATTCAGAAAATTAAAAAAATAATAATTTTTTTATTCAAATTACTACTTTTATAAACTTTTTCATTTTATATATATACGCCGTTTACCGGTACCCACCCATGATTCAATAATAAAAGTTTTCTCGCTCCCTCTTGACAAAATCGGTTCCCTTAGCAAGGCACTGTGTGTGGGTTCGTGTGTGTGTGCAAAGCTTTTGTAGGGGAGCTAAGGGAGTGTCAAAACTCTAATGTCACTAGTGAGCAAACCTTTAATTATTGAATCATGGTACCCACTCTTTTATGAAAGTGTAGCTCATTAACTGACAAAAACCATATCAGACAAAATTTCAAACTTTGTACGGCAATTACGAAACTAGACAAACATTAATAAAATTTATGGGCTTTTTAATTAGATTCCTTATAAACATTCTTAGTATGCAGTCCATTAAATTTTAGTAGAACAAAGTGCAAACTTTAAATAGCTCCCTGTAGGGAAACGAACTAGTGTGGAACTGGTTCCGATCTAGTGCGTTTGGAACCATGACTGGTACGCGTTAATTCTCTTTTGCATGCTAGCGACTGGCGAATTTAACATTGCGATGTCCTACGAAGTGTCCCGTTGCATCCCTTTCGCCCTAGTTCCGAACCAGTTCCAAATTCGACAGGTGAGATCTAGTTCGTTCTGCATCCCCTTTTCTTTAGTTCCAAACCAGTTCCTAATTCGACAGATGAGATCTAGTTCGATCTGCATCCATTTTTTATAGTTCCCAACCTGTTATAAATTCGTCACCTTAGATCTACATTTCTAATCAGGCTTGTCGAAACATTTCCCTTCTATATTAAATACGATCGGTTGAAGGAAGGACAATACAATCACAAATGTTTAAACGCATTTATTAAAAATTTATAAACCACATTAGTAGTAGTAGTAGTATTAAACTTAAGTAGTAAGTAAAAAACAAAAGTGCGTTCTGCTTAAAAGTAAAAATATTAGTTCACTTTGTCTTACTTGTCTAAATTTAAGCATATTGATTTTTAAGTAAATTCAGTTCTTTTTAAGCTTATATGTATATGAAGTACTTCGAAAGTTTTTGTCGTACTTAACTTAAATAAGATATACATACAGTCAGTCAATAAAGTGTAGGTACAGTGAAGTTTTTACAATACCGGCAACTATTTTTTAAATATTTTATTTTTCCCTAATTTTTTATAAAAATATGGTTAATTCTACACCAAAAACCCCAAAAATCAGAGTTCCAAACCTTATGCAAAATTAAAGAAAACTCTGCGAATTTCCATCCAAGTATTGCAATTTACACTCTTTAGAAAAAAGTTAAGTACTCAGTTATTAGCCCATTCAATTTTAGTATAACAAAGTGCAAGTTTGAGGTAGCTAGGACTTACCATTGATATTTAGCAATTTTTTTTTGTTGTTTGGTAAGTCCTAGCTTCCTCATACTTGCACTTCATTATACTAAAATTGAATGGGCTAAAAAACTTTTTCTAGAGAGCGTAAATAGAAAGTGAATTATTTTAATGAAATTTTGCAGAATTTTCTTAAATTTTGCACAAGGTTTGGAACTCTGATTTTTGGGGATTTTGTTGTAGAATTGACCATATTTTTATAAAAAATTACCGAAAACTAAAATATTTAAAAAATAGTTGCCTGTATTGTAAAAAATTCGTTGTACCTAAACTTTATTGACTGACAGTATTAAGGTAGCTGTGCTGGATTGCATAAAAAAAAATTTATTTGTCTTTTCTTAAAAAAAAGTAGCTCTGGTAGCTTGCATTTTTAAATAAATTTAGTGAGAAAGTGGTAATTATTTCGACACTTTTTTTAAATGACTCTTTTTCCGCAACTGCATTGCCTTTCTCAATTGTCCTTCAGGATCTTGGCCTTTACCACCACCACACCCTTATAAAAGGAATAAGATCCAAACCTTTCAGGTCAAAATTTCAGTAGGTTGCGTCTGTATGGCCTTTTCAATTTTACAAGTTATCATTATTTTTAAGTGGAAAAATAAAGCTTTAAATTAATGATAATCTCTGCGCGAAAAAATAAAAATCATAAAATAATCATTATTTGTAATCCCAAAAATAAAAATCAAATAATAATTATTTCCGTTTGAGCGAAAAAATAAAACTCAATAATAATTCATAAAATAATGATTAAATGCTGATTTGAATTATTTTACTCATAATGATTACCTTCCCTGCTTTTAAAATTTAAAATAAAATAGTTTAGTGAAAGTACCACATTTCACTGCTTTTGGACTAGTGCGGAACTAGTTACTATCGGACTGGGTCGTTTTTGGCGAAAAAGAACTAGTACTGAAATAGAAATCTGGTTCACTAGTTCGTGTTTTCCCTAACGGGCTAGGACTTATTCTTGATTTTTGGGATTTTTTTATACCCGAACGCACGTGTGCACAAGGGTATATTAAATTTGTTCACATAACGGTTGTTTGTAACAGCCAAAAAGGAATCAAGAAAGATGTAGACAAATGTAAACATAAATGTTCAGAATGAATATAGAAGTCCGTCCGTCTGTCCGTCTTTCCGTCCGTCCGTGTACACGATAACTCGAGTAAAAATTGAGATATCTCAACGAAATTTGGTACTTATATAGGTTACCCTTTATCCAAGGTAGGTTGCTATTGAAAATGGTGCGAAATTGGACTGTAACCACGCCCCTTCTAATATATGTAACGGTATTTTCGAAAAATGCAAAAACTACCAGATTTCAGTAAATATTTGATTCAAATTGTTCAAAATAAGTATGTGAGGTAGAATTTTGGTATGAAATAATATTATTATGAAATTATTGGAAAAGGGGCGTGACCACGCCCACTTATGACGAAATACTGTATCTTAGTAGCCGCTTCATCAATCCGTACCAAACTCGGTACGAGCCTTGCCTAAGGCCTAGCTAAGAAATCTGTTGAAAATCATTGAAATCGGGCAATAGCCACGCCCACCTTCCTTATAACGGTAATTTACAGAAACACGAAAACTGCGATAAATCAGCAACTACTGAAGCTAATTGACTCAGAATCGATTATTGCAATGACCACTGAGCAGAAAACTAGATTATTATAAATTTTTGGATTTTGGGTGTGGCTTCGCCCACTTATCACCAACAAATTTGTATCTCGGTAACCGACTTATCAATTACTATCAAACTGGGTGCATTTATGTAATAAACTTGTTACGAAAAAGCTATTCGTTGAAAATTATTCAAATCGGACTAAAATTGCACCGGCTTCCCGTATAACGGATATACGAAAACTCCGATATTTCAATAACTGAGGACGTTCATTTGCTCCAAGTTAATACTTACAACAATCCTTTAACAATAAATAAGACTGTTATAGACTTTAAGGTAGTTTAAAGAAAGTTGGAACGACGAAAGTGGATACCTGCACCGGGTATATGAAATTCGGGTTCGTCCGAACTTATACTTCTTTACTTGTTTTATTTAGAGTATTCATCATATTGTATTTAATTGTGGATATAAATACTTTAGCAAAACTCAAAGAAAAAGCCAGCTCCCCCAGAAAGGTTAAATAGTCACCCCTTATTTTGTTTACAATTCATTTATGTAAATTAAAATTACAATGCATCAAAAGCGGGCTGAGTAATGCAATATTACAACAAACATCAGAAATACTCTGGAAAATTACGCTGTGTCATTCCGTGTCTGCACGTTGGTTGTATGGCGATAACGCATCGCTTGCGTAGGTCGGAAGATGTAAATAGATTGTAAACATGACTTGGCATTTTTATTTGAATGAAAAACGCTTACATACATATGCTGTTCTTTTGGTGCAAGCTAAAAAAAAATCAGCTGTTCGGTGTGTTGGGCGTTAATCAATTACTTTCTTAATCATCTTGTTATTTGGTTTAAATATTAATTGCAATTAAATTTTTGACTGCGCATTGTAATTAAACTTATAATTGGACAAGGCTATTAATTTAATAGCAATTGCTTTTCTTACAAAGACTTTACTACATTATCGGCCGTCCGATGATATCTTATGCCTCCGCAAGTTGGTCGAGCTCTAAAATATTGTTTAGAACAATCCTCGAAGGTTAGAGCATTAAAATTCCGACTTCACTTTTTCCACATTTTTGGACAACAACAGCCTCCAAATAGAGGCTTACAACTGTGAATATATGACGGTATGCTTCAAAAGAACAATCATTATGCCGAATTTCCACTAGGCTTTAAAATGAGCAAACAAAAATATTTTCTTTTTTTAAGCAAAAATGGGCTTATTAAAATAATGCCAAGTGAAAATGCGGCACTTTTTCCCTGAGTGAGGTGATTTTGAAAACAAAAATATTTTTTCCGCCGAATGTATGTATATTTTTCGTGGGTATTTGCGGTCGAATCTTAAAGTGCAATATATGTTCTTGTCTCGAGGAGATTTTTTTTTGTTCCAAAGTTCATTGACCCAATTACTTCTTGTACTTACACATCAGATCACAGGTTTTATCGCCCTACCGTACAACCCTTATGCCAGTAAATCAAACCTTCCCGAAAATCATTAAACCATTCCATTCGATGGAAATTTCTAAGATTTTGTATGACCGAACATACATACATATTTCATCACAGATATAACCGACATTTACAGTCAAATCTAAAGTACGATATATAGAGGATCCTGTCTCGAGGATTTGTTTTTCGATTCCAAAGTGCTTACCCATCAAATCTCAGTATCGTACCATCCTAATGCTAGTAAATTAAAGCTGGCCAAAATCATTACATTTGTCCTAGGAATACTTCCATCCTTCGATTATTCCACGAGATCTATTTATAAAATGTATTGCCGTCTATAGGTGTCACCGAAAAATGTAAACACTTTTCTTGTTCGCCTGTAGGGTAGTACGGTCTAATGTATGTACATTAGGGTGGTCCCTAAAAAATCAAATCAACGATTTTGCTCAGTCTCACCCCTCCCTCAATCGGTAATACATACCACGGGCACATATTTCACATATAAATTGTGGTCCCGATTGGAGACGTTTAAGGCGTATCGCGGAGGAGGCACAGTTCAGATTCCCCCATGGAGACTCAAAACAATAAAATTAATTTTTTTTTCATCTAATGCCCAAAATCGATATTACTATAGTTGAAGGTATCACATATACATTTTTGTCCCGATTGGAGTCGGTTAGGTCGTTTTCATAGGGTAATCTGAATTTTTTACCCCTGTGCGACACGTCTTAACCGCCACCAATCGGGGCCAAAATTTATATGTGATATCTTCGACCATAGCAGCATCGACGTAGGGGTTGAGGTTTAGGAAATCTGATGTAAAACTTGGTTTTCGATATTTAAGGCCCCCCCTAATGTACATATGCATTTCTCGACAATATGTTTGATACTTTATCGCACATTATTTTATTATTTATTATTTGTTATTTTATTATTTTATTATTTATTATTACCCAAATACACACATAAGTGTTATTCTCTTGCTATATCGTCATTTAAATCGGTACCTATCAATCATAAGCGTGTCGTTATTGACAAATTTAACGAAATATTTATCGGTGTGGCCTTTGATTGTGGATACTTACTCGATACACATTATTTTTTATCGATATTTCCATACATTCGATTATTGATTGTATGTCGAAACCGCTATACATTTTCAGCTACTATTACACAATTAAATCGGTCGATAAGTTATTGAACTCAATTTTGTCGATGTTTTTAAATAAGCCAATAATTATCGGAATCGTTAACAAGAATATCGACGTGTTTAACTAAATTATTACCGGAAATTGCATATCTACATATCGATTTCTTTACTAGGCACTGTGGTATCAATATCAGCCTCATCCGATACTGATTCCATGTTCGCTTCTTTGCCACAGAGATTAAAATTCGAGTTATAAAATATTTTCACTTATTCAGTTTATTGATACAGCCTCTCGATAACATTAGCATATTTCTTTAAAATTACGCTACGCCGGGACTTCAAGGTTGGACCTGCAATGTAAAAGAAAATTGCATTTCAATAACGCCATTAAACTCACGTCCAAGCCTCCAACCTACCTATTTCGCCTGTTGGTATTGAGAAATCGTGTGGCAACAGCGCAAATTTCTGTACCTTCTGCGCATTGGACAGGGCATTTCGGTTGGCACGCTTTATGGCCTCTTCAATGGCCACCACAACCTTCGGGTCCGGCTGCACTTCAACGGTCGCAGCATCGAATTCTTCCAACTTCGTGGGTATACGTAGAACTTCAGAGAGGCGTGTGTAGTGAAGCCCCAGCGATTGGAACCAGGCAACGGCTGCTGGTTGTAGAGTGTCCAAAGGCAATCCAGTTTGGGTATCCATATCGGTCTAGAGCAGAGGTGCAAACAACACTCTTATGATTAAGGCACTTATCGATTTACTAACCTTAAATGTAAGCAATATGGTGAGGTACTTTCGTTTGTCGCCAACAAGTAAGGCATTACTGATGCATGGCAATTCTGCCTTCACCAAATTTTCCACGTGCACTGGCGGTATATTCTCACCACCTGCCGTAATGACCAATTCCTTCAAGCGACCGGTTATAATAAGGTCACCATTTTCATTAATATAACCAATATCGCCTGTGTGAAACCAGCCATCTGCATCAAGAGCCTCATTCGTTTTCTCTTGCTCCTTCAAGTAGCCCATAAAAACGTATCGACCACGAAAACAGATCTGCGAATGCATTTCTGTGAACAATTTTACTTGCTAAAACCTACGTACGTTTCCAGCTTACCTCACCATGTTCTTCCGCAGCAGTCTCATCGATTTTCACTTCCATGCCTCTGTATGGTTTGCCAGCGCCCTCTACTTGCCGAGATTCTAGTACCATAGTAGCAGCGCTGGTAGTTTCGGAGAGACCGTAAGCCTCATGTATTGGCAGGTCTATACTCAGGAAGAACATCTTCAAGTCTTTGGAGACAGGTGCGCCGCCAGAGCTGACTATATCGCAGCAATTCAGACCCATGGCGGCTTTAATTTTTCCTGTTATACGTGAAGCCAACCAATATTTGATGGAAGCGGGTGGTTTACTAAAAATTTCAACTGCATTATTTAGGTGAGCTAATTTAAAATAAATGTAGCGAAATTTTTTTATACTAAAACTTACCCTCTTCCGTCGTGGTTCAGGTAGCACTGTAACATTGTATTCCGGGCGTAATTCAGTAGTAGTCGCGCCAACCAAGAGGACTCTGATTCGACTTGCTTCAGGCGTTCTTGCATCTTCTCGAAGACACGTGGCACTGCGAAGAAATATGTTGGGCGCACCATAGTCAAAGTTTTCACCAGAGTTCCTTTGAGCGCATCACGATCTGCAAAATAGACGCAGTTACCACTACGTGCGCTCACAATAATGTCGAACATTTGCGCGGCAATGTGACACAGTGGCAAGAAGCTGACACCAACCTCCGAACCCTCTTTGAAGTCTACATTGAGTGGTAAGGCTTTGGCGTTTAAGATGATATTATCATGGGAGAGCATTACAGCCTTCGGCAACCCAACTGTGCCAGACTGTGTACCATAGGTTAGTAACAATATTGAGGAAACATCATTTTTCGAAAACTACTCACAGTGAATACTAGCATCGCACACTCATTAGCCGCTATATTGAGTTCGCGTTTCAATAGTTCTTCCTTCAGCTGCGCATCGAATTCCATAGCCATTAAGTCAGCCCAACGATAGTAACCCTCCTCGCGACCTACATACTCTTCAAATGGTCCTTGCAACTGTATGACAGCGCGCAACTGTGGTAAACTTCCTCTCACCTCGTGCACCTTTGCCATCTGCGTCGCGTCGTCGACCACACAGACGGTCGCCTCCGCTGTTTCGAGCGCATGACGCACTGCTTCCGGTGAACTGGTCAGATATAAGCCGGACGCCACAGCGCCACAACGCAAAGCGGCCATTTCGGTATAAAACCATTCGGGGCAATTGAAGGCGAGTATGACAGCGGTGGTGCGTGGACGCAAACCGACATGCATCAGCGCGAGTGCTACCTTTTCCACATTGCGTTCGTATTGTGCATAAGTGACGGTCGTCCAAACTGGTGTGGTGGGGTCGGTGCTATTGTTGTTGGTATCATTGGCAAAAACTAGCGCGGGTAGATCAGCATAGCGACGACAGATTTCGTGAAAAAAATGTGGTATGGTTTGTGGTGCGCTGGAGGTAAGTCCCTCTTTGCCAATGCGCAGCTTCACTGGTTCGCTGAGGGAAGTCGATGTGTAGCTGGTGGCAGGTTTGAGGATACTCGGCGATGTTGTAACGGTTTCGGTATGGTTCATAATTGTAGATTAACGTGTTGCAGGCTAGTTGGAGAGGACGGATGTGTATTGAGAACAGAGGTCGCGTCAGATCATAGAAGAAAATGATTTTGTCTAAAATAAGAAAAAAGATATAAAGTAATTAAATTAATTTAAATTGAATTGAGGTGAACTGGCTTTAACATCCCAGCACCGCTTAATTATAGAGTTGCCACCTGTTTGAAAGTTGAAGTTTAAGTAAATTTATAAAATAGGAAGAGGTTTGAATCGGTTTACAGCCCAAAATATTTTTGTTGAAGGTTGCCACCTGTTTGAAAATTTCAATTTATTTTAATTAATATTATTAAATTTTAATTTATTTTAAATGCAGTTTTCGCGGATATATTGCTAGAGGTCTAATTAAAATTATAGAAAAAAAATATGGAGTTGCCACCTGTTTGAAAGTTGAAGTTTAAGTACAATTTTAAAATAGAGCAAATACCACAATATGGCTGTCAAAATGAAGACGTTTAAATCGGCTTACAGCCCAAGATATTTTTGTTTAAGGTTGCCACCTGTTTGAAAATTTTAATTTATTTTAGTTGATAAGATAGATTTAATATTGCAATATGAGTATCAAAATATAGATGTTAAGGAAAGTTTACTGCCGGAAATATATTTGACGAGGGTTTCCACCTATTTGAAAAATTTCATTAAGTTAAATTGATAAAATAAATGAAATATTACAATACGGACAACAAACGCACAAAAATAGGTTTAAGGCGCAGTGAAGTACGCCAGGGGTTTGCTAGTATTTACCTAAATACAAATCGCCGATGTTTTTGCAATACCGCCCATCGACCACTTGC